TTCAGACACCAAGGCAGGTGTTGTCCATGGGGATGTCCTCACTACGGCCAACCCAGTTCCTCTAAGGCTTTTGGCTTGAGACTCTGGCTTCCCGGGGATTTCTCAGGGCTGCCACCCAAACTCATCATTGCAACCACCTGAGAGTGGCCCTGAACCGAGGATGAGGGCAGAGGCCCCATAGGCCTTGGCAAAGCAGCTCTGGTCTGGATTCGCCTCAAGCTGGGAATGAATTGTTTTCCTGGTTTAAAAATAATTAACGTGTATCATCTGTTCTTTAGTCACATTCCCACCCACCAAAAAAAAACAAACGGGGGTGGGAGACTGCTCAGCTGAGAGGCAGTTATCCAATGTGGGCAGCTCTGCCCCTCACTCAGCCATGTCTGCTGTCTGGCCTGTCTCCCCCTCCCCCCCTTAGGACTATAAGAAGGGATCCTGGCTATTCTGCCTAAAAACGGGCTCTAGATGAGGACAAGACTGAGGCTCAGATGAATGTGGAGGAAGATGGGAAGGGGTCATGACCCCTGACAGGGCCCCTGCAGAAGTGCAGGGCTGGCACCCTTAAGAGCCGCGCAGACTGCAGTTTCATGCAATCCAGGCATACTGCCTTTCAGCCTTTATATAATTGCAGTCAGGGCCAACCCTACATGGTTTGCTGCCTTGAGCTGCTGAGCAACAAAAAATTGCCAGAGTGACGGATCAAATACACCAACCGGCTGGTCAGCTGCACCATGTGGCCCCCTCCCTAAATGTTGATTTGGCATCTTAACCCTGCCCTGAAGGCCAGCCCTGGGTGCAGCCCATCAAGGCTAAAAGTGCCGGCATGCAATGCTCCATCTAGGTAGCCTTGGGTTGGCTCCGTGTTCCAGCCCAAAATACTTCCTCTTGATCCAGGTGCCATCCACTCAGATCAAGATAAACCTTAAGTCCCTGTGAGCCTCACTTCACCCCTGCTCCTTGGATCAAGAAGGAGAATTGCACACTAGGACTTTGGGATTTATGGCCTGGGCCTAGGCCACTGAAATCATGTCTACACTAGGAAATTACCCCTTTGCTGTTGAGTCTCAATCACACGTTCAGTAACAGTGCTGAAAATGGTTCCCCAGTCTATACTAGCAGTATAGGGATAGCTCAGGGGTTTGAGCATTGGCCTCCTAAACCCAGGGTTGTGAGTTTAATCCTTGAAGGGGCCATTTAGGGATCTGGGGCAAAAATCTGTCTGGGGATTGGTCCTGCTTTGAGCAGGGGGTTGGACTACATGACCTCCTGAGGTCCCTTCCAACCCTGAGATTCTATGATTCCAAGGAGACCCACTGCTGAGCCCTGGCTTGATTTCTTAACCTACACAGGACTGTTGCATGCTAGGACTTGTAGCCTTTGTACTTAAGCCTTTCAAATCAAGATGGGGAGCATTGCATGCTGGGCTCTGTGAGCTGCTCCGTTTGATGCAAACGGGGCATAGATGTCGGCCTAATGGCTGGTTGCCACCGCAGACTTCCACTTAGCTAACGTTTGGGCCAAATACCATCTCCTTATATGTTGAGGCATTAATGACCCCTCCCAGAAGAATATGCCTGTTTCATGTTTGGCAGACAGCTGAACATAGGCTTGATTAGAAACAGGAGCCCAATAACACTTCACATTTCTATGACACCTTTTCTCCCAAAGCGCCTCATCAGCCATGTACAGCACAACTGAAATGCAGCTACCTTTGGGGTGGAGAGCAGTAGCCACCTGTCCCACAGCACCCTGCGTGACAGTGAGAGTGCCTCCTGCTCTTATGAGAAGCACCGTCATCAATTCCTTATTGCCTGCACAGAGCAGAAAAGACCTTAGGTTGTAAGGTCTCATC